ATTTAGAATAATTATCATTTTGATCCATACAGTGGTTATGTCTGACTGGGCCTCGTGCCACTTTATGTTCAACAAATTGGGCCCCGAGGTCAAAAAAAGGTTAAGAACCCCTGGATTAAACCTACTTCTCACTGAAGAGATTAAATTAAAGTGAAATGCTAATCCACCCAAACATCAGATTTAAGGGTGCATTTGGTCACACCTTTCTCATCCAGTCTTTGCTCCTTGTTGTTCGAGTCCAGCAGAGCGATGTAGAAGGGACTGGCGTGACCTAATGCTAACTCACTCGGCTGCTGGTACCCTGTTACTGCCGCTGGAGGAAACCGGAAAGGAGGAATAAAACTTTGAACACAGATGATAAATCATATAAATACTGAAGCTTGTTGTGGTTTTTCTTACCTTCTGGTCGCACTGCCTTCTCACAAGACGTTTCTTTTTCAGCATGAGGGTCCAGAGAACAGCAGGAAGCGGAAGAGACGGATTCGGAGAACCCTGAGTCTTTAGTTCTAGTGGTCGTGAGTGACGTCTGGGAGGAGGACAGGGATTCTGAGGCATCGCAGTGGACAGCTGAGGGCTGAGAGGATTCTGCTTGGGATTCTGGGGGAGCAGCGTGTCTCTCGAAGTCCAGGTCACCTGCTCCTAAAGAGCTGCTGACACCAGACGCCTCGTCCCCACAACCCAACACCTCAGGAGAGGCTGCTGGTACTGGTGGCGCATCTAACCGAGACTGGGAGGTTTCAGGAGACGTCCTGCCGGACTGGAAAGGCGGCTGGAAAACATTGACAGAAAACCTGCGGAGAGGGAGACATTTATAGATTCCAAGTTTAACAAAATGGAAATTACAACCAACAGTTCCTGGTTTTCTAATAATCATTGCATAAAATGTATTTCCTTAAAGTTTCTCTGTAAAAATAGAAGTGACATCTGAGAAAAAAAAAAGCTTCAATTAAAGAATTTGGAGTGTATACAATAAAGTGATCCAATACTGTGGGATAAATCTCGTGTCAGCAGGAATTGAATCTGAATGCGCATCATTTGAAATTGAATGCATTGGTTTGAAAATGAAGTTTACTAAATTGAAACTGAATTTAAATATTTGTATCATAGATCACATATTGATCAGATGCTGCTGCTGATTGATCCATGATGTCATGTAAATGTAACATTTTCTACATATAGGTAAAATTAATCACTGCAGTAAAATAACTTTGTTTTTGTCACTTTTACAATGGATTGCATCAACTCTGTTACATCCAGAAGGGAAACTTCACCAAAGTGAAACATAAATCTGTGGATCTGTGTTTGATTACTCTGCCTGGCTTTCTCAAGAACCAGGATGTGACACAAAAATATGAATTATGGAACTGAAATTGAAAGTAGTCAAACTGAATTTTTAATAAACCAAAAATACAGTTTCAAAGCAAATGAATTCAAATTCAAAACTTTAGATTCAGTTTCAATTTAGTGAAATTTATTTTCAAACCAATGCATTCAATTTCAAATGAGGCACATTCAGATTCAATTCCTGCTGGCACGAGATTTATCCCATACTAAACATTTACCTAAATACGACATCAGCAACAATCACATAAACTCTTTTACAAAACCAACCTGACACCAGAATGTGAGCACCAAGGAGGTGAGCGTACCTGGAGTAACCCTCTAGCAGCTGCGTGAGGCGGGCGTAGGAGAGCCGGGACTCCGGAACGCTGACTAAGAAAGGCAAGCCCACATTTTCTAAGTTGGGCCGACACAGACCCTTGTGACTGGGCCAGTGTGTCCTCTGGCAAACTCTGGAGACACAGAAAATCCACATTTACTTCTCTGTGCACTCAGTCTTTTCCCCACTCTGGTATTTTTCACATTGTTAAAGGGCAACAGCCCGAACAAAAAATAAATAAATAAATAAATAAAAATAAATGATTTTCCAGGCACTCACTGATTGCAGTAGCCCACTCGGTAGCAGCGAGTACACCGCTTCAGCTTGTCTTCTTCCGACACCGGTGGTTTTAGACAAGCTGCACACTTGGAGATGGGAATATTCGGCACCTGGAGTTTCTGAAACAAACAAACAAACAAACAAATAAATAAATAAATAAAGGACACTTTCAAGATCTGCTTAAAAAGTGTTATTCAGATGAAGTAAAATAGTTACCTGCTGCACTTTGAACAAAACCACCCTCTCTTTGGCCAAATCTTTGGAAAGCACCTCAAAGCAGAACAGCATGTCAGAGGGGGACACCGAGTCCAGAGAATGGGACGGCAGGAATACGCGTTGAAAGCGGTTCTTTCCCACCTGTTAAAGAAAATAAATAAATAAATAAATAAATAAACAGGTTTGGTTTTGTTTCCAAATGTTTTAAGTCAGGCAGCTTTAATTAAAATTCAACCACTTGTTCAGTAAAGAAATAAAGCTTTTACAGTATAAAAATCCTAAAGAAAATGAAAACAAATCCAACCTCTGCCAGTCTGAGGTTCTCAGGTTTGACCCTCACACTCCTGGAAATGGATTCAAGGACCTCTGCTGTGCTGGAGTTCTCCTTACTCACACTGACTAAAAACTGAAGGCAGAAAAAACAAATTTAGTCCATTTCATGAAACATTTTCCACCTTGTGACTGTACATATCCAAACGGCCAGGCAGAAAATAGAACCACTGAGACTAAATCTGACCTTAATTGGCTTTTTATGAGGTTCCTTAGCGAAGTAGAAAACAGACAGGACTTTTTGTTTCTGGGGCAACGGGACAGGCAGGTAAAGGAAGGGGTCAAAGGTGATGGAGACCTGAAAAAGAATGGAAAGAGCTTAAATAGTGTGAGAGAAAGTTTCTCTCTAAAACACTACGTTCTTAGTAAAATGATATGTTACCTTGGAGCACGTGGGGCACACAAGCTTGGATTTAAACTGGCCCTGGAAGAGGTCCACGATGAAAGAATCGTTTCTCATTTTGTGCCTCTGCCACGCCTCCTCTGCCACCACCTGCAGCAACACAACAAACATCATCAGAGCAACGCCTGAGCTGCAGCAAACAGGCAAGAACTCCTGAGAAACTGTTCTCATTTCTTAGATTTTACAAAGTAAATAAATTAAAGTAGACATATTGAATCCTTCCTTTTCACATTTAAATCATTCAGTCTTTATAAAGTGGAACTGTAATACTTTGGTCTGAATTCCTCCTTATTCTAACTTTACCAGCCCCTCTTTCACCACTTTTCTGGGGTGTGCCTCAAAGCAGCTCGTTTTGTTACTGTTCCTTTAAAGTGCTTAACGCCCCGCCCCCCTCCTGCTTCCAGACCGGTCCACTCCAGTTTGAGAGAGTGGGTTATGTTTTCTAGGAGTGCAAAACCTTTTATTTACAATTTAATTAAAAGATGTCAACAACAGAAGACTTGTCCATCCAGCCTTACATGTTGGCACCAGAGTCTGATCCAGAACCAGAATCTGACCCAGAACCAGAGTCTGACCCAGAACCAGAATCTGACCCAGAACCAGAGAGACTAAATTAAACTTTTCTGCCTCCTATAAAATGTATTTAACAGCTAAAAAAGTGGATTTTGCAGKATATGTCCCCTTTAAAACAAATATGTTTATGTTTAGCAGCTACTGTGAGGACACACAAAAAAAAAAACCAACCCTCACCTCGTCGAGCCGTCCATCAGAATCCACCGTCTCTGTGTAAGGTTTGTTCTGGATGCGGTTCAAGTCCTCGTGGAGTCCATCCAATAGGAACGCCATGAACTCCTGAGCATCGTGCTGAGCGTAACCCGTGAACTGACTGGCTTTGCTGGCTACGATTGCCTGCGAGGTTATAAACGAGTGCAGAAAATTAGATTTGAAGAACTTGGAATAACTTTATTTTATTTACCGTGTAAAAAACAAAAAATGCTGGCTGCGTACCTTGAGCTTTGAAGGTTGGAAAGCGTGGTGTGTCCCTTTCCAAAGAGCCCTGAGAAGCACAGCGAAGCCAATGGCTAACCTCCCGCCTGTTCCCAGAGGATTACTGCAGTTGATTTCTGCCTCAAACGCTCGGTCTGTGAAAGATAGAAGGCACACGGCTCAGAAATATAAACCAAGTTCAAACAAAACAGAGACCAAACATAACCTTTTAAAGGATACAGACATGATAAACAGATTACTAGTGACATGAAAGTATTACAAACTACTATAAATTTTATGACTCCCGCATGCAAATCATTTTAGTCAACTGTAGCACAGAAACTGCTGCACTGATCAACATGAAATTTGGAAAGAATGTAGATGAGTCTGACCTATACTGCACCAGCTAATGGTTTTATGATAGACCCCATTTTTGAGAAGGGGGCTCCATCTAAAAAGGGGGTGTCTGGACATGCAAAAATGCTTATAACTCAAAAACTATTTAACATAGGAGCTTCAGATTTTTATTTTTTGTTTTGTTTTTGTTTAGCTCTGATGAAGAGCTATCCATCGGGCCCACCCTGGGTTCATACAGCTTAAAACAAATTTAAGACTTTTTAAGACCTCTTTAATGCCACTTGAAAATTATTTTAAGACCAACTTCACAAAAAATACAAAAAAAAAAATCAAAAAGAAAAGATTAAGATGAGATGAGATGCATCAGGACAAAACCAAAAAAATAAAATAAAACAAAATAATAACTTTGCGACAATTTTACCCAAATGTTTACCAAAACAAAATTTTGTTAACTTTAACAAAATAATTAACTGAATGCTATTTTTAAAAACTAGATAAATGTTACCAATTATTTTAAAATTTGAGATGAATTACAATAATCCTGTTTAGCTACAATGTGTTTTTTAAGACCTCTGAAAGATTTATTTAAGACATTTTAATGCTAATTAAGGCCTTATTTTTGGACTGATGWATTCAATGACTTTTAATGCTTTTTAAGGATCCGCAGGAACTCTGCCACCAATGAGCACCCCCAACCCCCTCCGGACCCCCACCTAAAACAATAAATCTGTTCTGGTGCACTGGTGCTTTGCGTACGTGCGGGGTTCATAGACGCTAACGCTACGCTAGCACGTAGYGTTATCTAATTACTATTATAAAGCCCATTGTATTTCCATGTGATAAGGTTTTTCAGTTTGTTGCCATTTAATTTATTTTGTCAGCTTGGGGCTAATTATATGGTCTTATAATAAAATGACCAACATTTTGCATTTCGTTACTTTGCTGTTCTTAAATTCTAAAGTGCTGAACCCACAGTTTATCTGGCTTACACAGAAAAACCCGGCGAGCCCTTATTAAAGCTGGCCCTGTGGCCCTGCTGCATGCTTCAACCCAAGTCAGAATAAAACACACCCTGTTGTATTTTTTAGCAATAAAACAAGTTATCTTTTTGGCTGGAGATAAATATTGCCTGTCAACTTTAAAACTTTATTAGAATAAATAATTCCACACATTTATACTTGTTTTACATGAATAATCCAAGTAGTCCAACTTGGTCTTTACCGTGAAAGTAATCCCGGAGTTCCCTGGTGTTGGACAGGGACTGGATGACGCTGTTCATGAAGCAGGTGTTGCCGAGGTTGACCAATCCTGTAAAACCAGGCAGGCACACCTTCTTCTCCTCCTCTTCCTCGTGGCGCTCTGTGGCTGGAGGTGCATGGGTCATAGGCTGCACCATGCAGGTCGGCTTAGGCTGACAGAAAAACACACGCACACTTAGAAACACACATTTAAATGTTTTTAGTCGTTTTTTTAAATAACGGTAAATACTTGGATTTAACATTGTAATTTTAACATTTTCATTAAGTGGTGTTATTTAAAGTATGCTGTGTTTTTCAATATTTAACTATTTAAAGGGGCTATTCATGTAAAATCAACTTTTTTGAGTTTTATATCATGTTATAATGTTATACTCTCATAAAAAAACATGTCCAAAGCCTTGCTTTGACTCATTCATGCATGTCTGAGAAATCCTGCAGCGTTTTTAGGAAGCCATGCTGAGGAGCAAAACGACAGGTGGAGACCAGAAACACCTTTTGGTACCAGAAACACCTCTGGGACTGGTCTTTAAGCCAAACTTCCTCATGGCAGAGCGCACCCCCTCCCCACACACCACTCCCATGACTCCTGCAGGCTCTCGGGTGAAACTGAAAGTGAAACCTAACTCTCTGTTGTGCTCTCAACATTAGTTCTCACTCAGTGAAGCTCTTTTCAGATTAAAAATACCTTTGAGGAAATATATTTTCAGATGCCAAGTAAACTGCATCATGGCAGCCCCCCCACCAAAAATGGGCAAAACGGAAGCAGAAGGGGGTTTTTAAAGAGACAGAGGCCAATTTCAAGGCGTTTAGAAGAGGAAGCGATGAGAAGATAAGTTTAATTTCTATTTAAACATAAAAACATTTTTAATAACAGCTAAAGGTTACATAGATACTTTATTATGGCATAGTATTTAAATATATGCCTGAGAAACACATAATATTGACACTTTAAAGAAGTTTTGAGGATCTATAACAAAAGATTCAAGTTGCCAGAACTGAATTATCAGCTGACTACACCAACTTAAACTACAAAAATATGGCAACTGTTCATTTTTCTCCCATTTTACACGAAACAATTACTGGGTCCAGGTAACCCAAAGCTTTAGTTGTAGTTACGATTCTGGAAGCTTTGTTTGTCCAGACAGAGAACTGTGACTGCTGTCTCTGTAGGTGAGACAATAACTCATAAACCTCTAAAGTCTGTTTCTGGTTTGGGGTTTTTACCGTGGTGACGGTGGGTTCTGGTTTAGTGATGGCAACATGCTCAGAGACTGTTCGAGGAGCAACAGGATCCAGACCGCTGTCCTCCACTCCTCTAGAGGACGCCTTGGGGGCCTTGGGCGTATCCTCCCCAACCCTGGGGGACTCCTCCTTGGCCGGGAGGCTGTGCTGGCTGCTGCCTGGCTGGCTCTTGTCCATGCAGGTGGGACCAGAAGGCACAGCCACCTTAGCACCACCCACTGCACCTTAAACAGAACAATGAAGCTTGTGGTTAGAACGGAAAGGCCCGGGACAGTTTAACCTTTGAGCTTGGATTTAAAAAAAAAAAAAACCTCTTCTATCACCATTTACAAACAGCTCAAATACAAAAACTATACACTTCATAGTATAGTTAGCTTACATGAAAAAAACAACAGGTAAGTTTTGAATCAGTAACGAGACAACTGTAAAAACACTGCAGTTTCTGTTAAATGAAGGTATTCCATGAATCACAGGAACATAAAACCCTGTCACTGACTGATCGTAGGAGAAAAACGAGAGAAGTACACGACACAAATAGAAGCTTGGCAGCAGACCTTGTGAGGCTGGGGCCTCCAGACCCCCCCAGCGCTGGCTGTGTCTCTTCTTCAGGGAGATGTCCAGACGGGACGGGGTGAAGGAGTAGCTGCATAGCTCAGGCTGGATCAGGTTTCTGACACACAGAGAGGCCAGAATATCTTCAGGTCAGATTAGAGGACAAACTCAAGTGCAGTGAAGCAGCTGCTCTAAAGCTTTCTGGAACCTGAGCTGCAATCTTTTTAACAAGGTTTGATGTTTTGTCACATTTCAAATAAGACCGTAGCCGTGCATCCATGCAATTTTAATGCACATTTTGAACAAACTTTTAAAATGTCACAAAAAATCTCCCCATCTCTCCTTTTGCACATTCTTTTTCAAAAAATCCAAAAACCACCTCAAGCAAGCGAAAAAACTTTTTAGCAAAATTGAGGAAGTTTTTTCCGAATTTTGCTGTTTCCATCCACCTTTTCTGATGCAACGCTTTAAAACGTACAGAAAAAATGTTGATGGAAACACGGCTACAGAATGTCAGCTGCATCAAGATCTAATAAATCAAAGCAGTATCATTTAAGAAAAAAAAAACATATTGACAAATAATAAAATTAAATTTTTGTTTTAGTCAGCTTGCAGCTACTGAGCTGACACCTTTTATATTTCTGTTTAATCTAAAGATTTTTCACAATTTATAAGTTTTAAAAAATAAAGAGCATTTAATGTTACAACTCTCTGCTTTTGCTGACATTCACACAGCTTCACCTCTGGAAAGATTTAACAAGCTTCTATTGTTAATAATTCATTATAGAATACAATTTAAATGAGTTTCATTGAACTGATTCTTTTCAGGTTTTGTTGCTTATTGTTTTTCTATTTCATGGTTTATTTTTTTTGCCTTTTTTTTTTCTTTAGAGTGGTTCCATACATAATGTATTTTTGGGTTTTGTGTAAGGCTAATTTATTAAAATTATTTTTACTATTATAAGCAGATGATACCACAAACCATAGTAAGACTGGAACAAAAGTCCACACAGCGGCACAGGAAAAAATATAAACTCCTCTCTTTCCTATTTCTCATTTAAAAACAATGTTTTCCTGATTGCATTAAAAAATAAAAGAAACAGGTACCTGAGTTTGACCTGCCACTTGAAGACTGTGTTCGGTCCACAGTCTGAATGAAGTCGGAGAAAGTTTGTATCACTGTAAAAAAAATWAAAAATAAAAAACCTTATGATTAAATACTGACTGTTTTTGTTGTAAGGTGTTAAAACGACACTTTCCTTGCTGCAGGTTTTTGAGTTCACTACCTTGTCTGGAAGATGAGAGTGAAGTCCTGCTCTCTGAAGATGACCCTGGCCGTGTCTCTGCTGACTCCCTTCAGGTAAACGTTCACCACCATCAGATCTGTGCCCTTCTCGTACGAGTCGTTCTTCACCAACTGCAGGTTCACCATCGGCTCGGGAGCTGCAGCGAGCCACAGCACATTTAATAACACTTATACTGAAATAATATGGTCATGGTGGCAGTGTTGGGTAGGGCTGCAACTTACGATTATTTTAAAAATCAATTAATCGGCCAAATCGTTAAAACACTTAAGTTACATGAATAGAGTAGATATAAATTAATTTCATTCCTGTATAAATTAGGGACGCAAGTTATTTATTAATTAATTAATCTGAAGTTGATTTATCTTATAGATTGACTAACAATTAATTGATAAGCAGCCATTTTCTTAAAAAACTGAGTTTTCTCTTGAATCAAGAGGGTCTTTTTATAACATGAAGGATTATGTTTTATAATCTCCTGAATTAAAAAACAGCACATCATAACTATTTTAACTATTTATTTTGCCAGTTGTATTTAATGCTGACTAAAAAAATTGTGTATTTCTCATACATGAAACATAACAGAAAATAGGTTGCTGAATGAGGAAAATAGATTAAAAGAATAAAATATAATTTTTAGATGTAAAACTATTATTAATTTGTTATAATTT